AGTACAGCAAACAAGGGGTTAAACAGGCAGTGGTATGTCGCTTTCTCACCACCTACTTTAACCCCTTGGACCCTGCAGAAGCATACAGTTGTGGGGTGCCCGCAGAGTGACCCCCTTTACTTGAATGGATTATGAATGTCAGGCAGTAGCACCCACCAAAAGCAACAGGGGGGTGTAATTCCTGCTATGGCATGTGCACACTTTTTTGCTGTTGCCCCAGCAGCTAAAGGAGGTAGGGACTGGGGGCAGTAAAACCATGACTCAATAGTGAATGCAACTTAGGGCTCATTCACAAGTGAAGTAGGCACTGCTGCTCCTCTGAAAAGCAATCCGAGTGTGTTTGGCAGCTGGTGAGGAGGAGATATGTTGCCTCCTTACCACTTGATGTAAACTCCTGATTGCCCTGCAATGCACGTGATAGTGACAAGGCAATTAGAGATATCAATCAAGTGTGAGGAGGCAACACTGTCCCCGCTGATCTTTTCTCATGGTAGATCTCCACCTTGTTAAGGTTGCCTACTCCTGAATTAAGCCATGTGAGTCCTCATGCACACTGGACGTTATTACTGATGTTTTTGGACTTTTTCTGATGAAAAAAAAAAGTTTTTTTTTTTTTTGTTAAAAAAGCCCGCAAACGTGGTAAAACGCCACAAAATGTAGTAAAACGCTAATGCAAAAACGCTAAAAAAAAGCTGAAAACATGACTTTACACAGCTAACGTTACCAGCGTTATCAAAAACACCCAGTGTGCATGGAGACTTAGAATGCCTCCACTCTGGGTGAAGGAGCACAGCGGCACATTTGAAAAGCAGCATTGTCAGTCTGGAGGTGTTAGATGTACTAGCAGATTTAGATACACTAAACAAATTGATGCCAAACTCCAGCTAATATATTATAAGCAGTTGTTTGGAGGGATAAAAGTGTTATATAAATAAAAGATGATCATTGTAAGCACCCCTGTCAGTGGTAAATGCAGGGCCCGATCTAGCCTGTCAGAAGGGAGGTGCAGTAAAAAATGTCAGGGGGACAGAGGATGGGAGGTCAGCAGGGCAGTGTACAGGGGTTCAGCAGGGCAGAGGACAGAGGGCAGCCAGGCAGTGTACAGGGAGTCAGCAGGGCAAAAGATGGAAGGTCAGCAAAGGACAAGCAGGATGGAGGACAGGTGGTCAGTGCTGCAGGGCAGAGGACAGGGATCACCACTGGAGAGACAGATGACAGGGATTTCTGCTAGAGAAGCATACCAAAGGGATCACCACTGGCAAGCACAGGGCAGGGATCACCAATGGAGAGGCAAAGGACAGGGATCACCCTTGGAGAGTCAGAGGACAGGGATCACCGCTGGGGAGTAAGAAGACAGGGATTGCTGCTGGAGAGTCAGAGGACAGGGATCACCAATGGAGAGACAGATGACAGGGATCACTGCTGGAGAAGCATAGCACAGGGATCACCACTGGCAAGGCAGAGGGCAGGGATCACCACTGGAGAGGCAAAGGAGAGGGATCACCAATAGAGAGGAAGAGGACAGGGATTACAGCTGGCGAGGGAGAGGAGAGGGATCACCCCCAGAGAGTCAGAGGACAGGAATCACTGCTGACAAGGCACTTTGCAGAGCTCCTTTCCCATCTTAGCACTGTAAACAGCTCCTACTCCCCACACTACAGAGCTGAAATCACATTCTTTTACACACAGCCAGTCAACCACAATCTTCACAGGGTGTAGGTGGCTGCTATGTTGCCATTCTGACCTGTGAAATTCCCTGGTCAGAACAGCAGTGTAGCTGCAGTAGCCACCTACACCCTATGAAGATCATGGCTGTGTGTAAAGAAATGTGATTTCAGCTCTTTGTAGTGAGGGGAGGAGGATCTGTGTACAGTGCTAACATGGGAAAGGAGCTCAGTGGCCAGGAAAATCTCCCAGGGTGGAGGGGAGGGGGCTTGTAAGGGGGCTCTGGGGGGGGGGGGGGGGCACCTGCTGAGATCTGGAGGGGCGCAGCCCACCCTAGCACCCCCCCCCCCCCCCCAGATCCATAAATGGGTAATTTGTCTCAACGCTCTAACTGCTACATCTTTAGAACCACTTGTTCTGTTGAAAAACAACAGACTTACTTGCTAGATCACCAGGTGAAAATAAATGAAGCCACCACATCTAAAAATGAGATAGCTGTGTGATGCCCCCCCCCCCCCTTCCTTTTCTTCCCTTCTCTGCTCCCTTTCTTCCTCTTTGCAGCTGCAGCTCTTCTGTAACTTTATGTTTAAAACTTGAAGGAGCCTTGGCACACCATATTGGTATCTTCCTGACTCATTAATACATTGTAACATTTTCACCATCTAGTAGAAGCTGATTATTCTGTACGGTTGGACCGCACTATTCTTGTGTCTGTCTTTTAATGGCTCTGTACTACTTGCTTTCAAAATAAAAACTTTTGAACAGAACAAATTGGTAAGCTGCAAAATAATAAATGTTGCTTTAGGGGTTAATACCGCCTGAAGCTTTAAAGCTGACTGGCTGCATAAGCAAACATTGTTTACATACAAGAGTCATGTGTAGGTGTCTCCAGATCGGTGCAGTAATGTGAAACTTTGAAAGGTAACATCTGGGTTTGCAATAACATTTGGTCCACGTGAAGTGGATTTACATCCATTGTAGCTATTAAGGATCATAGTTTCATGAGGGTTGTTTTTCCCGAAGTAGAGCTTTAATACTACTTTAAATGTGAAGGTTTATCTGTACAATCCAATCAAAGCAAAGTTGCCTACAGCAATGAATTTTCAGCAAAAAAAAAAAATCTGATTTGTATGAAGGAGCACAGGAGCAACGTGGGGAAAGGGGGATGTTAGGTGTATTAGCAGATTTAGATACACTAACAAATTGAAGTCCAACTCCAGCTATTACTGCAGTTACAGCAACAGATTTTTTTTTTTTATCTTTGTAAGCACCCCCACTTAGAAAGAAAAGAAAAAGAGAACTTATACAGCTATCACATCTAAGAATTGGTAAGCTGCAGTGTCTGCTCTTGGATTTAATACCATGTTCATACTACTTGAAGGTTTATCTATACAATCCAATCAAAGAAAATAGTCCATAGCAATGATATTTCAGAGAAAATGTAATCAGATTTGTTGGCATGTTACTGATCTTTGTGTTTGAAAATATATTCTGTATTCCTTCCTAAGCTTGTCAAGACACTTTCATATCAAGTCTAGTATGTAATGGTCTGTACACCAGGTCAGTGACCATATGGAGTTCAGCAGACTATTATTGGTCAGGTCCATCTCCCAGGTCCAGAAACCATTATTGGTCAGGTCCATCTCCCAGGTCCAGAAACCATTATTGGTCAGGTCCATCTCCTAGGTACAGGACCATTATTGGTCAGGTCCACATCCCAGGTCCAGGATCATTATTGGTCAGGTCCATCTTCTAGGTACAGGACCATTATTGGTCAGGTCCATCTCCCAGGTCCAGGATCATTATTGGTCAGGTCCATTTCCCAGGTACAGGACCATTATTAGTCAGGTCCATTTCCCAGATCCAGGACCACAATTGTTCATGTCCATCTCCTATGTCCAGGATCTTTATCGGTCAGGTCCATCTCCCAGATCCAGGACCATTATCAGTCAGGTCCATTATTGTGTAGGTCCATCTTCTAGGTACAGGACTAATATTGTTCATGTCCAACTCCTAGGTCCAAGACCATTATTGGTCAGGTCCATCTTCTAGGTACAGGACCATTATCAGTCAGGTCCATCTCCCAGGTGACCATTATTGGTCATGTCCACCTATTAGGTACAGGATCATTATTGGTCATATCCACTTATTAGGTACAGGACCATTATTGTTCATGTCCACATATTAGGTACAGGAGCATTATTGGTCATGTCCACTTATTAGATACATGACCATTATTGGTCAGGTCCACCTCTTAGGTACAGGACCATTATTGGTCAGGTCCACCTCTTAGGTACAGGACCATTATTGGTCAGGTCCACCTCTTAGGTACAGGACCATTAATGGTCAGGTCCACCTCTTAGGTACAGGACCATTATTGGTCAGGTCCACCTCTTAGGTACAGGACCATGGTCAGGTCCACCTCTTAGGTACAGGACCATTAATGGTCAGGTCCACCTCTTAGGTACAGGACCAATATTGGTCAGGTCCATCTCCTAGGTCCAGGACCATTATTGGTCAGGTCCATCTCCTAGGTCCAGGATCATTATTGGTCAGGTCCATCTCCTAGGTCCAGTATAATTTTTTTGGTCAGGTCCATCTCCCAGGTCCAGGACCATTATTGTTCATGTCCATTTCCTAGGTCCAGTATCATTATTGGTCAGGTCCAGGACCATTATTGGTCAGGTCCATCTCCCAGGTACAGGACTAGTATTGTTCATGTCCATTTCCTAGGTCCAGAATCATTATTGGTCAGGTCCATCTCCTAGGTACAGGACCATTATTGGTCAGGTCCATCTCCCAGGTCCAGGATCATTTTTGGTCAGGTCCATTTCCCAGATCCAGGACCACAATTGTTCATGTCCATCTCCTAGGTACAGGACTAGTATTGTTCATGTCCATCTCCTAGGTCCGGTATCATTATCGGTCAGGTCCTTCTCCCAGGTCCAGGACCATTATTGTGTCGGTCCATCTCCCAGATCCTCCTGCCTCCTTGTACGTACAGAGTCTCCAGTGCGTGCCAAGCCCTGGTGATGTACTCCGCCAGTGTCCTGGCTCAGTAAACCGTTCAGTTGGGTGATTAGTGAAGTGGAGGCAGCGATTGGCTGCGCAGAGCTTTCTAATCCAGAGAAGCTGAAAGTCTGGGCTTGGACTACAAAGGCTGGTTGCATGGGGAGAAGGGAGTTGAGGTGAATGGGGTGGGGGTGTTGTCTTCTCCTGACAAGTACGGTGCACACAAGGAGGGGCGCTGGATGCAGTGCCAGGCGCCGGTCCTGCTCAGGACCACAACCCAAAGGGGAGCACTATGCGGCTCTGACAGCTGCCAATAGGGCGATATGGGCAGGAATCAGGGCGCCTGGAGACGTCCGCTTGGCAGAGCCCGCATCAAGGCTCCATCGGTGGCCGTTTGGCAGCCCCTTCCCGTCTGGATGAGACTGTATTTCTACGGCATGCATGGCCTGACCCTGGACGTGGTGAGCTCGTCCCTCCGGCGCCTCCCGACCAGCCCGGACTACAGCCTGCTGGGCTTCTCATCGCCCTACCGCTGCCTGCTGCACGCCCTGGCCCACCTGGCCCTGGAGAAGATCTACCTGCAGAAGAAGAGCTTCCCGGACAATGGCTTGGCGTTCCACTTCGTCTTCTACCCGTCCGTGTTCGTGGGCCTGCAGATCCTGCTCCGGAAGACGCTGCTGCAGTGCTGCCCCCACGAGCGGCCGCTGAGTGCGGCGGAGCTGGGGCTGCAGTACGGACTGGCCGTCTATTACTGCCAAGGCTTTCTCCGGAGCTTCCTCCGACTCCACTACAGCCCCAACCTGGAGGGACCCGGAGCCGCCGACTGTGCCAGCGCCGGACACCGGCTGCCTCTGCTGCTGCGCTTCGTCTTCTTCGGCATGCACGGCTTCCTGGACGAAGTGTTCTTCACGTCCGTCTTCAATGTGATGGAGAATGCGGGCCAACCTCTGAGCGGACACACGTCCCTCTGGTCCTTCTTCATCTACGGCAGCTGCAGCCTGGTGGTGGAGAAGCTCTACTTCTACCTGGGTTCCAGCAGAGGATGGGGCGCCTGGAGGAGGCTGCCGGTCTACATCGTCTTTGTCTACACCTGGGAGTTCTCCTGGGGCTTGGGACTGCGGACATGGAACGCCTGTTCCTGGGATTACTCGCACTACCCTTTGAATTTTATGGGGCTGGTGACCCTCATGTACCTACCGGGCTGGATATTTCTGAGCTTTTACCAGGACCTGCTGTCCAAGGTGCTGATGAGGATACGCTACGTGTAGGATGTGCTGGGGTGGATGTGCTGGGACTTCTGCAGTCATCACACCGATAAATAGGGACTGCAACCATTTCTACAGCCAGGAAAGGGACGACTAGAACCCTACAGAACGATTCTTAGCTGAAGCCAGGCCAACCTTAAATCATGTCTCCAGGCAAAACCTTTTATTTGAAGTTTTGGTAGTATGGGGAAGGGTTCTTTCAGACAAGTGGTGTCCCTTCCAGGCAGCAGAGGATTCGGAACAGATCATCTGCTGAATGGATGGGACTTCTGTGTTCCTTCAGTTTATTCCTGCATCCTATAACAGACCCAGGTTAAAGCAGAGTTCCAGCTGGAAACAAAAAATAAAAGTCAGCAGCTACAAAAACTGTAGCTGCTGACTTGTTAAATACAGCCAGTCACCTGTCCCTCGGTCCAGCGGTGTCCTCACCATCGCTGGTTTCACCGGCCGTCTTCTCTCCCTGGTGCCGGCATCTTTAGTGTGGGCACCCGGCTGTGACAGCTTGCGGCTTCATAGCCGGGTGCCCACTGTGCATGCACGAGAAGTGCTGCGCTTTGTGAATGGCCCCGTAGTCTTCTGGGACCTGTCACGTGTCCCAGAAGACTATGGGGAGGGAGGGGGGAGGACAGCTTCTGCGTCCGATCTCCTAGGCGATCGCAGTGGAAGTGGGAACCTGTCAAGTTTGGGTACCCGTTCCCCGAAGGTGCCAATCCTCAATGGGGAGCGGGGGACAAAGCATTAGAGGAACTTCTTTTGGGTGGAGCTCCGCTTTAAAGAGGACCACTATCCCCCCTCCCCCCCTAGAATAATAATTAAAAACACTGTAGTTGCTGACTTTTAACCACTTGCCCTCCTGAGGATTTACCCCCCTTCCTGACCAGGCCATTTTTTGCGATATGACTCTGCGTTACTTTAACTGACAATTGCGCGGTCATACAACACTGCACCCAAATGAAATTTACGTCCTTTTTTTCCCACTAATTGAGCTTTCTTTCAGTGGTATTTGATCTCCTGTGCGGTTTTTATTTTTTGTGCTATAAAAAAAAAGCAACAATTTTGAGAGAAAAAACAATATTTTTGACTTTTTGCTTTTAAACATGTCCAGTAAAAAAAATGTTAAAAATCAAAATTCGTCATAAAATTTAGGCCAAAATGTATTCTGTTTCATGTCTTTGCTAAAAAGAATCCTAATACGTGTAAATTAATTGGTTTACATGAAAGGTAGAGCATTTAAAAATGGCGGTATATATACTGGGATTTTTTTTTTCACTAGTAATGGCAGCCATCAGCGACTTATAGTGGGACTGCAGCAGACATTCTGACACTGGGGGGAACTGCCTTGGTGTCACTGATAGCTTCAGTGACACCAATACAGTGATCAGTGCTAAAAAAAAAAAAAAAAAAAAAAAAGCACTGATGCTGCAGTATTGGCACTGGGCAGGAAGGAGTTAACATGAGGGGCAATCAAAAGGTTAACTGAGTGCTGGGAGTGTATTACTAGGGGGTGGTGTCAGTGTGCTTCACTGTAATCACACTGCTCTGGATGGCTGTGCTGAGCACAGCCATCCAAAGCAGTGTGCCGAGCGGACGAGGAGAAGTGCCAGTAATCATCGCCCAGGACCCGGTGATTGACAGCCGTGGCCGCAAATGGCGGCGCATGTGTGGCCCTTACCCAGAACTGCAAAATCACGTATATACACCTGATTTTGCGCACCCGTGCCTCCCTGTAGCAGTATTTCTGCTATAGGGCAGTTGGGAAGCTGTTAATATAAGGACACTTACCTGTCCAGGGATCTAGCAATGTCCTCACCTGAGTCACATCTTCAATTGGCTTTGGATGCAGGCAGCAGCATCTTAGGTAAGGGAAACCGGCAGTGAGGCCTCCTTGCTTCACAGCCGGTTTACTACTGGAACCCATGATGGGACCCGGAAGGAGCAGGGGATGAACATCACCACAGAGATCTGACCAGAAGTGGGAGCAGGTACCTGTCAAAACCAGATACCCGCACCCACCCTCCTCCCCAAAAAAGTGTCAAATGTGGCAGCTAAGGGGGAAGGGGGGGGGAGGGGAGGATGCAAACAAGCAGAATGTCCCCTTTAGGGTTTACTCCTCTTCAAGTCTATGAGCAGGCAGGTGTAAAAAGATATGTAACCTTTTACCTCCAACCCATCACCCTAATTCTGGCCATACACATAGATTTTTGGATGAGAATATTCGTACCAAAATACATACAAAATGTTTTGTACATTCGATGAATGAACGAACGTCATTAGAAAATTTCACTTGCTTTTAACATTCAGTTTTGAAATGAATGTAATTTCTGAATGAAAATCACATACACTATTGGACAATTCATTAGACTGAGAAAAGTTTTCTGTTCTGCTCCTTCACATTTTCCCATCAATGAACGTTGATTTGACCGCACTAACCGTGATATAATCGAATGAACATTCTTAAAACAAAACTGTTCAAACTATACATGTATGGCCAGCATTAGGTCTGATAAAACAGAACAGGAGGCAAGCTTTTGGCCCCTTTCATACTGGCGTTGTCCAGCTGGATCAGTAAAGGATGTATGAACAGATTCTCTTCTGAATCAGAGCAGAAATGAACAGACTTACCCCTTTTTACCTCTGACCCATCACCTTTAGGTCTGGAAAAACAATAGAATAGGACAAACCTTTGGCCCCTTTCACACAGTTGCTTCCTGGACTGATCAGCAAGGGATGTATGAACAGATTCCATGTAGAATTATAGCAGAATGGAACAGATGTGACATTTTATGACATCTGTGTCCATTTAATTTTTCCCTCCTGGAGCTTTCTGGGCACTTTAGATCTATGGGCAGCCAGATGTAAAGGGACTACCTCGGATCCATCATATTTAGGTTGGAAAATGCAAAAAAGGATTTTTTTTTTTTTCCAGATCTAGAAGTAAATGGGCACTTACATTGGGCCACCCATAGACTAACATGGAGCTTTGAATCAGGTCTGTCTGAAAAATAGACAGGGGGAACTGATTGGCGTGACCATGTGAAATGAGCCTTTTCCATTTTTTTTCTTAGACTTAGGACTCAGACGTAGTCAGATGTAAACGGACAAACATCTGCCTTCATGTAGACCAGTGTTTCTCAACTCCAGTCCTCATGGACCCCCAACAGGTCATGTTTTCAGGATTTCCCTCAGATGAAACAGCTGTGGTAATTACTAAGGCAGTGAAACTGATCAAATCACCTGTGCAAAATAATGGAAATCCTGAAAACATGACCTGTTGGGGGTCCATGAGGACTGGAGTTGAGAAACACTGATGTAGACTAACATTGAGCTCCCATTCAGATCTGCCTGAAAAAAATGACAGGAGGATCTCATCAGAATGCCTGTCTGAAAGGACCCTTAGACCTTCTGTCAAGTTTTAATTGCTGTCCATGTCCCCACTGGAGACATTCATCCTTTATTTGTTGACAATGCTCACCAGTACAAAGAAAGTTAAAGCATAACCAAAATGTTAGAGATGTTTTGGGGGGCAACTGGAGAATCTCTCTTGCTTGAGTCTCCATGCACACTAGCGTTTCCTTAAGCTCCTAGAAGTCATTAGCATTTTTTTCTGCTCCTAGAAGCTAGTGTTATCCTATGTGTCCATACACAACATTTGAGGCTAGTAGTATTTTTCAAGCTTCAGCAATTAGGAGCAGAAAAAAATGTTTTTGTATGGTTTTGGGAGCGTTTTTCCTGCAGGAAAAAAAAAAAAAAACACACTAAATGCTATTAAACGCTACTAAAATGCTCCTAACAGCTTTTTTGTTTCTTGCATGTACTGTAAAAACACAAATAAAATGCTAACGCTCCTAAATGCTACTAAAAACTATTACCCGCATTTTTTATCCAGCATTTTTTACAGCGTTTTATGAGCTTAAAAAACGCTCTTGTGCTTGGAGCCTAAAGTTGAACTCCAGGAATTAAAAACAATTTATAGATATTTGCTTTGTAAAACTAAATTCATTCTAATATGTGTCTCATGTGTAGGGATGCTGAAGCATTATCTAAAACTTTTTTCATTTTATTCATCCTGTCACTAGTCAAACTTTTGGTGCTAAAACTTGCAGTTCCAGTTCTCTAATACATTGGAGGATAGTGGGCTATTTGCACTCCACCTCATCCATTTACAAAATGCTTGACATTTTTTTTTTTCAAAGAAAACAAGGCGTTGTTTGATTGGAGAAGGGGAGATCCTGATGTTCATATGCCCCTCCACTCTCCAATCAAAGAATGCCTTGTGAGAAGAATACAAAACATTTTGTTTTAGCAGTGCAGTTTCAGCTCTCATATAGTGTATAAATTGAAGGTAAATTTTCTGTTCCAGTTCTCTAATACATCGAAGGATAGTGGGCTATTTGCACTCCACCTCTTCCATTCACAAAATGCTTTACATTTTCTTTTCAAAGAATACAAGCTGTTCTTTGATGGGAGAGGGGAGGGGTAGATGAATGTCAGGATCTCCCTTTCTCCAATCATAGAATGCCTTGTGAGAAGAATACAAAACATTTTGTTCCAGCTCTCACATAGTGTATACATTGAAGGTAAATTTCCAGTTCTCTATTACATTGAAGGATAGTGAGTTGTTTGCATTCTACCTTGTCTGTTCACAAAAGGCTTTGCATTTAAAAGAAAAAAAAGGTGTTTTGTGATTGAAGAGGGGAGGCTCAGATTAGGGGTGTCAAACTCAATTTCATGGCGGGCTGCATCAGCATTATGGTTGCCCTCAAAGTGCCAGTTGTACCTGTAAGACTAGATGTCCTGAACACCCCACCCTCCCCTACATCACAGTACACCCCCCTTACCTGCTGCTGCCAGGAAGAAATTGGAGGAGTAGCTGGGAAGTAAAAGGTGCAGGGGATGGAGGAGGAGCAGAGGGCTGGAGTCTGCTGAATGCCTAGACCAGGGGAGTTAGAGAAGGGCGTGCTGCGGCTGCACAGGATCTGTAGGAGGAGTTCTGTCCTCTCTGC